TTTTTCGCCTGTACCCCCTTTAATTTTTTCGCCATGTACCCCCTTTCATTTTCCGCCTGTACTCCCTTTAATTTTTTCGCAAACATTCAAGTCTGAGTTATAATGATTGGATTTTGTAACCTTAGGCAACAGCTTTTTAAGATTATAACAATTTATTCAACGACTTGAATAAAATATAAAATATATTCAGATATTTTTAACCTGTAGTACACGATAACCAACTGGGAATTGTTTATAATCTAGATACAACCAAGATACGTTCCTTTATAAAAAAAGTAAGCAGAGTAAAAACAATTTAACAAATATTTTGGACTGAAATGATGCATGCACAAAGTGATCAAAAGATTGCAAGCTTTAATGTAAAAAGCTTTGAAGATTTTGTCAAGTATTTCCTAATAACATTGCTTTATACAAGTTTATAACAAATTATACGAGATTTAGTGAAAAAATCAACGGTCAATGCGAGAATTAAAAATCTAACCAGACTTTTCATAGCAGTCTGGATCTATGTGTATAGTTTTATACCACACTGCACACACTGAACTAGACAGATGCGGATATTATTTAATACCTCACATGACTTGTTTTCATTGGTTTCATATTTTGACCTCCAGAGGTCATTGATATTTGTAGATGACGACAATTAGAGGCTGCATACAAAATTTCAGCTTTCAATCTCAATATTTTTAGGACCAAACGCAGCCTGTACAAAATTTTGAGTGCCAAAGTGTCGAATTGTACCCCCCCCCTTTTTTTTAATTGACTATGCCATGTGTCACAACTCACATACCCTCTTTAAAGACAAGACAAGACAAGACAAGACAAGACAAGATTGCGAAGTTTCAACCATATTCAAGACTGGGGCGACTTTAAAGTGTTGCTACACCTTGGACAATTTTTTAGCTCAGAATTTGTGAACAAAGTTCTAAACATTCCCGTGCAGGTTCTACCTAGCTCCCCAACATTTGAGGAAAAATAGGGTTGCACGAGTTATGACCGGATAAATAACCATGAAACAGACAAATACAGAGATTACCAATACATATGTGTGGATTTAAAACCTCAAATTAGAAGTCATCAATTTTCCACTCCCATATAAAACATATTTAATAAATAAAAAAAAAAGATTTGAGTCTGTTTTGTAACAATTCCAGTAAATGTTATTTCAAATTTTTAAATCATTTCCATCCTGAGAAAATTGCATATCTACATCTGCCGGGGATAGATGTCTACGTTTTTCAAAAAGGATTAAATTTCCGATTTAAAGTATTTTCAGAACAGTTAGAAATTTCCAGTAAAGTTTTGCTTTACATGGAAAAGAAGTTGAACTAGGATCAGCATTTTGGATAAATGAGGGGCGGGGGGCTTTTGATATTTTTTCTTCAAATAATTATTTTTTAACTTTTATTTGGACTGCAAGCGTAAAGTAAGTAATCTTTCATTTGTATTGTGTTAAATTAACAACCTTGCAAACTGTTTTGTATTAAAAAATATTAATATTTATCTTTTAGTTCCTTATTTGAATTTCTGAAACCTCCTTCAGATATAAAATATTTATTATTTTCCACGTATACATGAAGCGTCAGCTGTGTTGTTGAGTACACACTATATGACAATTTGAGCACTATCCGAGAGATAAACACACTAAGTTCTCTGGCCTATATGATCAGTCAAATATTTCTAGGGTGTAATCAGACATTGACACCTGAGCATGGAGGGTCACTTGAAATTACGGTTACAGTCACAGTAATATAAATAGTGTTTAATTGTTATTTAATAAAAATATAAATTCATTGCATTTTACAAGAACACATTTTTTACGCAAACACCCACCATATTTGTATTAATATTAAAATGATGAAATCATAAATTATATGTATTTTGCAATTAGTAAATACTTCTTTTTAGAGCTGCATTCGAGCTTTTAGAGAAGTCTCTAAGTTGTTTAAATGTTTAGTTTTAGTTAAAAATTTCGACCGAAAACCCGCCATTTCGTTAAAAACTCTTGAAAGAGGATTTTTCAACACGCTTCTCTGACTAAATCAAGGTCTTGGCGTGCTGCCGACGGCCCTGTATCTTTTCTATATGGCTGTTAGAATCTATTTATATATTTAGATTTTCCTGAAACCACAGTGGTTTCTTTTACTTTTGCTATAAAGTATATGATTTTCTTCCGAAATAGGCGACATCTAAATATATACGAAATCATTATAAATTAATACAAGCTACAATTGATGCAATGTTTGTAATATTATCAGAATATAATCATTTTGCCCATACTCACCGAAACACAAGACAAATAAATTTTAAAAGGATTTTTATGACTAAAACCAGCTTCACCTTATTATTCCTCAATGTACTTTCTTCCTCTGATTTCAATAAGCCGGAGTTATATATTAGTATCTGAAGCTTCCTCTAAAATATAAAATGGAAGAGTGAATAGATAACATTTTGGCAGAAATATATTAGGGTAAAGTTGGTTTCTTTGTCAATAACTCATATAGAGTTATGGAGTAGAGAGAGGGTTATTTATATCATTTAATCACTTATCCAACTATGCAGAATTACGTTGAACTAAAGAAAAAAAAAACTAAATCTTATTATTTACAATCATTACTCCTTTCATTAAAGAACTGTTGAGAAGAATGTTATATATGAATTTCTAATGTGTGTAATCTGATAAATTTGTTTTCTTATACTGGTGCGTAAATTCAAAACCAGAGGAGCTACAAGGTCACAAAGTCGTGCAACTGATGTTGCAAAAAGTTAAGCTTCTCCTTTTGTCTCTAGTTTGCAGTGGACATTCCTGGGCCTCGCACAACACTTTCTTGACTTTGAATCCTCGTAAAGGTAGATTTTTTTCTTTCAATTTTCTCTTAAGAAATGTGTTCCTAAACAGCAAATTTAAGTTTATAAAATACGTTTTTGTCGGGGGTAACCAATGATTTTAAAAAATCTAATCTTGTGACTAAACCTCTCTAGAATTATCCAGTATCGTGATATTTGAAAATGAGATATCGGTCTCATGTAGCAATAATTCTAATTTACACCAGCCAGCCGAACCCAAACTTTTGATACGTATCTCACGCAGTCAGGATACGTACTTACCTGCAATGCTATTCAATACATAACATTCTTATACAAGGTAGAAAATAAATCTTACGGCAAGGAAGTTAAACTGCCTTTTTAAATAAAAAATACTTATGAGGAAGTCTGGTTTTGTCTGATGGAAGTACAGTGTACAATACCTAGCCGGTCACTCCCTTTAACTTGATCTCCATGAGTGACGTAAATTATTGTTCCTTTTATTTATTTTCTTTTTTTAGTTTTTGAGATTTTTTAGTTTGCCACCGGGTTCTCTTCTCGAGAAATCAATATATACATATTTTCTATGTTAGTCAATCATTCATATTTGTAGATGATTAAAGGGATTAATAACCTAATTTACAATAACTTGCAGTTTAAATCAAATACTTTCATGAAGATTTTTTGTATTTTGAAAATAAGAATATTACAAAAAAAGATCTCAAGAGGGAAAAGCATCTGGTGGGACAGATTTTATACAAATAAACATAGAAATAAATTGTTAGAATTTAACACTTTTCCACCCGTAGTACAGTTGAATTTCCTAAACGGGTCAACCTTTCCGGTCCCAGTTTGCACTGTACCTAGATCTATGAACAGGACTAGCCAGTGAAACAAGGTTGACGCGGTCAGACTTTACGCTTCATATATGTTGAATTTACTTTTACTAAAGGGGCAGAGGTGCGTGAATAGTGTCTTATTGTTTTCAAGGTTCCGTTGTGAAATAGCATACATGGTCCCTTCGATGATATTCTTGTTATATTGTATAATGATCTATAATGAGGATTCTTGATTGCCTAATCACTAAACTATTTATATTTCATCAATGCTTCAGGAGACAAAAATGGATTAGGTGAAGTTTATATGGAGTAAAATGCACGATAAAAACAAATTTTTGGCTCCATAAAATTGGGCACCCTATCATATGATACCTTTCTCGAAAACATTCAAACATTTAAAAATAATTGGTCGGGAAATGGTGGGGGGGCTGTTGGGTAGTTACTAAATAAAGGCAATTTCTCATCTTTAAAAAAACGCTTGCGAATTTAATTTACAATAATTTTAATTGTCATCAAGCACAGTGAAATACAGTAATCTATATATATAAAGTTGTAATCTCTGTTTGTTTGTTCGTTTGTTTGTTTGTTCGATCATAACTCAGGAACCCCTGGACCGACTTGCCTCAAGTTTTGATTGGGGAACACGGGAGACCCATGGGATTGTTTTTAGATTGGTTTTGAGATTCAAAATTGAGTGGGTCAATTTTTAACGGGAAAAATAGCTAAAATGGTAATTTACGACAAAGGTCGGGTCATCTTTGGGACTAACTATGACTCTCCTGGGCCACGCTGGGCTCCCAAGTTAGTATATTATAATATAACATCAAAAATAATATTTTCACAGAGCAATTACAATTAAGTTGGTGGCAAAGGAACTGAATTGTTGCCGCACAGATCTGATTTTCTAATTGCTATAGCTTGGCAGCCTAATGAAGTAGACCATAGAAAATTAAGTTGCAGAGATTTAGGGATAAAAAATTTGAATTTGAGGCAAAAAATTTGTGACTTAATGGCTTTTCATTGTTTTCACCCCCCCCCCCCTTCCCATATTTATAATTGTTGAAAATAAAAACACAGTCATTATATAACGAATTACATTTATTATAACTGTTTTACAAACATTTTGTAATAAAAACAATTTTGAAATCATGAAAAAAGCTCTGAATTCTTATATTTATTAAGATAAATATTCTAATAATGCCATTTGATAATTATTCGGAAATTTAATTCAATATTAATATAAACTGCTATTTTATTGCGGTGATTGAGCGGTTTACAAAGAAATTAAAACAATAAAAATGGCAAAATCAACTTTTAACATTTTATATATGAACACATTCTTAATCACATATGGTGTAGTTTTTTTAAAATTAAATTTTATTTTAATCATATGTTAACTAACTTAAGGTAGCCATTAATTAGTTTATTTACATAGATTACTATGGGGTACAGGTTTAATGGACATGTATATGATAATGGAAGACAATATAAGAGTTTAAATGATAAATTAATCTCATGTTTTTACTATTCTGTATGTAGAAATAGATTTAGTTAAACACAGAGGCGAGCATTTGCAGTCGGCATCGTATATACTAATACAATGAAGACGACTTTCTATTTGTATTTAAACTTTCTACCAATCTTTTAAACAGCAGAGACATATAAAAATATAAACATAGAGAAGTTGTCAATTAAAAGCTTCTCTTTGTGTACTTGTAAACTTGTAATTTGAAAAATGTTTGTTAAGAATCAATGCGTCATTGATAAAAAGTCGTCTTTATCGTATTAATATAATCGCCGACCACTGTATACTATCCAAACTTTTAAATTGAGGGGTTAATGTCATAAATCCGAAAAATGCTGTCAATCCCTCAAAAAAAGGTATTTAACATCCTTGGTTGAACCGTTGGGAGTAATAGAGATAAACTGTCTGAATTCACAGGTTTGACATACAAAGTTTATTCATCATATTTTAGTTTTCTTTTGAGGAAACAAACATTTCTGAAAAAAATTATATCATCAAACTATAGGATGGGAGTTATTATTTAACAAACATAACAATAAAAATGATAAGAATTTTTACATTTATTAATGATATTAACTATAATAAAAATCATAATGATAATAATTATGTCAATGTATGTAGAAAAATTAAATTCAGAACCAATATTTGGTGTTTAATTACTTACGACTTGTATTTCATTATTAATCTTCAAATACAAAGCTGGTCAATTATTGTCTAAATCTATAAATAAAATTAAATAATCTAAGTTTGAACAATCAGGTTGTAAAAATAAAGGGATTAGAAAACTATAGTACGTGGCAATAACCCAAATTATTTAAATATATATTGTACCTATATTGTTCCAATGGTATTTTGTATCCAATGTTTAACTCCAGGTATACTGGTATACAGAGAAGGACGGATATCATCTCTGCATTGTCCCCTAGTGCTCAGTACACCATTGAGCTCCCAAACTCCAGATTCTGTTATGCACATCAAGGCACTTCCTTCATCTCCCTTCAATCAAATATTTATACACATCAAGGCACTTCCTTCATCTCCCACCAAATTACAATACAATAATTATACGTTGAAAGTTCCTTTTAGTATTGTTTGTCAATATAAATTATAATGTATATCAGCTTTCATCAATGCTTCAGGAGACAAAAATGGTTTGGGCTTTTTTTTTTATCAAAAACTAAATTATTTCTTAATACTATAATACTATGTTGTATCTATCCCTACGAACGTTTTATATCAATATTTAATCAATACCGATTTTTTAGCTGATTCTATTGTTTCAACGCTTGTTAAGTAAATCTAATATGATGCTTCAATAAAAAAACCTAATATGAAAATCGTCACGTTCTGATGATTTAATTCTGTGGGATAAAATACTCAATCTCTAAAGTGTCAGTTGAAAGCCTTCTCAATCAGAATTTTTAAAACTAACAGATCCTCCTTAGTATGCGAACTAAATTGTGCACAGGCTAAAGCGTTTAATATGAGATTTCACTTTTAAAATATTAAAAGTCATAAACACAAATTAAAGGGACAGACCAGCTATGTAAGTTAGTTAAACTGAGAATGTAGCGTTGTGGACAAATTCTTTAGGATTCATTTGAGACATATAAAACTATTAAAGATCTGTAAACCATGAGTTTGAGCGCAAAGTCGACGTTCAAAATCGTACTTTTGGGTGGGTACGTTTCAGGATTGTTTTTTTTAACTATTAAATAACGGCGAATAAAAATTTTAGCAAAATTCTACAGTAAACTAATTTGTTGTTGAGGAACAGGTTGGAGAAATATTATTATAACTCTTATCATCGAAAATAAGTAATCTTGTTCAATTATAAGTTTCTTTAATATCTCTTTAATCACAAAGATTTTCTGCAGATTTTCTGGAATTTTTATCAAAAAGACGACATTTGAAGAATTTGAAGATATCTGCGAAAAAATTCATAGAAAATAAGAAATACAATATAATGATGAAAAAGGAAATAATTAATTCTAACTTCGATTTATTGAAAAATTTCCTTTGATAAATATGTTCCTAATATCTAATTAGTTTACTATAGAATTTTTACTATATTCTTCCTCGTCGTTAATTAATAAATTTTAAAAACCGATTTTTAGAACGTAGTACGTACCCACCCAAATTCATGATTTTTAACGTCGACTTTGCGCTCAAACTTGCAGTAATTATACATCGTGGAAACGTATTTTATGATTTAAATAAATCCTAAAGAATTTGTCCACAACTCTTCATAGTCAGTTTAATTCTTCCTTACATAGCCGGTCTGTCGCTTTAATATTGAATGTGAGCTATACAGAAGATTTTGTTATACAGTAATATTGTCGCTTACTAATATATCAACAACAATATTATTTTACATTCAAATATTCACAATAATGTTAAACCTTGGTAAATGTTTCGCGTTAAAAGAATGAAAAATTGGTATTTTCCAAACTTTTCTGATCGAGTTCATGGAGGTCAAAATGGAGGTCAATGACCTCCGACCTCAAATTTTCTTTGTGATCTTTGTAGATGACCACAATGATAGGCTGCATGTAAAATTTCACGAAGTAACGAATTGCAGCCACATCCACCCCTTTACTATGAACAAATAAAAAACGTAAGCAATAAAAAAAATAAGCTTGAGAAGTAATCAAATTACAAAATTTAAATATTCATCTAATTGTAATGATGTGACAATAGTAGATATCATAGTAGATATCATAACTGTTACCTCACAGTCAGTTGAGTCTCCGCTGTCAAGTGAACAGATAGTATTCAGTGATAACTGTCCATTGTAAGCAGCTGTTGAGTTACACCTACTTTTTGGAACCTAAACACAAATATCAATTATTATTTATGATAGAACTTAAATAGATATATTTTTATTTGTCAAGGAAATCTTTCAAAATTATTTAACTACAATTTACTGCCAGAGAGCTACGGCTTTCTTTTATGCATTAGTATCAACCATTATTTGTTCTTTTTTATAATGTAAATATATTTTTTCCTATACTCTGTACTCTGTAGACTAAATCACATCAATTTCAGGCTTTATATTTCCTTTATTTTCGACCACTTTTAAATGGTAGCAATACCCCAAGTAAAAATTTAAAAAAATTATGTTATTTTCTAATTTGCCCAACACCTAAAAATAATCTAACATTGAGATAATATGTCAGAAAACAAAAATTTCAATACATTGACTATATTTCAATACATTGACTATATTTCAATACATTGACTATATTTCAATACATTGACTATATTTATCATAATTATTTCAATGTAAAGCACAAGGTAAAGATAATCTGACCCTAAAAGAATACAAAAATATCTCTGTTACTGGTAAGTGTATTTAAGATACCGGTTAAAGCTGACCCCTAGTTACCTCTGGTACTGGTAAGTGTAGTTAAGGTACTGGTTAAAGCTGACCCATAGTTACCTCCGGTACTGGTAAGTAGTTAAGGTACTGGTTAAAGCTGACCCCTAGTTACCTCTGGTACTGGTAAGTAGTTAAGGTACTGGTTAAAACTGACCCCTAGTTACCTCTGGTACTGGTAAGTAGTTAAGGTACTGGTTAAAGCTGACCACTAGTTACCTCTGGTACTGGTAAGTAGTTAAGGTACTGGTTAAAGCTGACCCCTAGTTACCTCTGGTACTGGTAAGTAGTTAAGGTACTGGTTAAAGCTGACCACTAGTTACCTCTGGTACTGGTAAGTAGTTAAGGTACTGGTTAAAGCCTCTGGTACTGGTAAGTAGTTAAGGTACTGGTTAAAGCTGACCACTAGTTACCTCTGGTACTGGTAAGTAGTTAAGGTACTGGTTAAAGCTGACCCCTAGTTACCTCTGGTACTGGTAAGTGTAGTTAAGATACCGGTTAAAGCTGACCCATAGTTACCTCTGGTACTGGTAAGTATAGTTAAGATACCGGTTAAAGCTGACCCCTAGTTACCTTCGGTACTGGTAAGTGTAGTTAAGTTACTGGTTAAAGCTGACCCATAGTTACCTCTTGTACTGGTAAGTAGTTAAGGTACTGGTTAAAGCTGACCCATAGTTACCTCTTGTACTGGTAAGTAGTTAAGGTACTGGTTAAAGCTGACCCCTAGTTACCTCCGGTACTGGTAAGTGTAGTTAAGTTACTGGTTAAAGCTGACCCATAGTTACCTCTGGTACTGGTAAATATAGTTAAGACACTGGTTAAAGCTGACCACAAGGTACCTCTGGTAGTGGTAAGTAGTTAAGGTACTGGTTAAAGCTGACCACTAGTTACCTCTGGTACTGGTAAGTAGTTAAGATACTGGTTAAAGCTGACCCATAGTTACCTCTGGTACTGGTAAGTAGTTAAGATATTGGTTAAAGCTGACCCCTAGTTACCTCTGGTACTGGTAAGTAGTTAAGATACTGGTTAAAGCTGACCCCAAGGCTACCACCTTGAGCCCAACCAGCCGATACACACAATTGTCTAAACAAACAAAAACAAAACAATTAACCAACACATTTAAATAAAGAAATATAACTAATTTTTTAAAACTCGAATTGTAAATATAAACCATAAATTGAAATTCATAAATTTCATTGCTTCTAGAAATCCATGAATTTGCAGCTTAGAAGGATGTTATATTTCCGTAAACCATCTAATATGAATTCAAATTTAGTCCTCCATTGCTGCGTAAAATCAAGAAAAAGATGCTAATTACCTTGGTTTAATATTCTCCTGACTGAGGCAGATTGGTGTCACCTCCTCACTAATCAACAATGGTTCCTAAATAAACAAAATTAGTTCTCAACTTGAGATGTTTTTAAAAATCAAGAAATGCCAAGGGGAAGTTTTCATGAGAGTTTGTTGCTGAAACTATGTAAGTTTTTATTGTTAAACTCTTGCACTTCAAACTTAAGCACAGTGTTTACTGGAGTTCAACTTCAAAACTAAAAGTTGGACAATCGTTTCACATCTCTTATTTCAAAACCTTGAAACATCTGATATTAATACACGTTTTTAGAATTTAATACAGGGACAGTGAAAATTAACAGTTATCAGCTAGCACTGAGAAGGTTATAGGACCTAGAAAGCAGGGCTCTGCTCTAGGTAGCCTGGCCAATATTCGGACAGGGAGCGCTGTGCAAATTAAACATGGAGTCACCAAACCTCAAAATCCATTTTTAAGACCACTAGACCCTATACTAGACAAATGTTGTCAGCTCCATTTTTAAGACCACTAGGCAAAACCAGGATTTAGACATGGAACTCAAAATAAAATTACAGAAACCTACAAACAAGAAACAAGAAGAAAAAAGAAAATTGAGCATGAAAAATGGTAGGAACTCCGATGATAAGCTCTACACCATCAATTATCAAGTTTCTCGTTGGCAAATGGAGAAATCATATGGAGATAGGGAGGGGAGTTATAAAACAAAACTGAAAACTAATACAATGGAGCATGAGTGTCCCAATAAATACTGAATTCCAGAAATTTTTATTTACTTTCAAAATTATCAGAATCAGGGACAGTCAACAGAAGGGAAAAAAAGGAAGAAGAGAATTAGAGAAGAAGCTCTATAATAATTTGTTTTTCTTGACTTTTCTTTTTACTCATTTTTGCTTTCTAAGTCTGGTTCAAAAATTAAGTAAACTTTAATCTAAACTTTGCTTTTAATAGATCACTTAACGATTATTTTCATTTCTTCACAGAATTTTCCAACAATTTTTGAGAACTTGCTCAGCACCATTATCTTATTTATAAATAGAAAGATACATATTACAATTTTCAATTTAGGAAATTGTTAGTTAGGTTGTTTTAAACTAATTGCGTTACATTGCTCCATTCCCTCCAGGCAATTTCCTTTTGTTTGATTTTTTTTGTGTAATTTTAAGGAGTTCCGTTTTAAACCTGGCGTTTCCAAGTTTACCTGTAATTGTATCAGAGCAATATTATTTTCTAGAGTATACTTGTTTCCCCTGGCTGAAGGATGGGGAAGAATATTTTTCACAGTCTTAATCTGGGTCCCTGGACCTCCTTCTACACCTGTAGAACCAGAGGGACCACCGAAAACTACCCATTCAAGGGGATCTAGGGACCTAAACAAACTTTAAATGAAAAACATAAAACATTGGTGCTGTCAGTGTATTATTTTTACATTGTTACAGGAGTGTTTGTTTTAAAAATTTAGGGGGGGGGGGGGTATTGGAGTTTGTTTTCCAAAGTGGCAGCGGGGTTGGTTGCATTTGTTACAAAGTGGCGGTAATGGGTGTTTTGCAAAGTGGCAGGAGTGCAAGTTTTACCTTTCGGCGGCGGCAGTTGTTGCGTTACAATGAGGCGGAAGGGCGGAGTTTTACAAACATTTTACTTTACTTTACCTTTCTTTAATGCAAGATAGTGATGTAACCATCCATAACGGATTTAAGATTGAAACTGTACACGTCGTCTTTTCCTGAACATTTGAAATAACATTAATATTGTTTAAACATTTTGATCATTTTATTTATCAAATTGACAAGTACCTTGACATTGAATATAAGTGCTAGGGAGGGCCACTGTAGTCCAGCCTCTACCACCTGGTTGCCTGCAGCTAGTCCAGATACAAGATCATCAGCAAGCTTCCATACTCCACATTCTAGAATTAGTAGTACTATATAACAGGGTCATAATAAAGTTAGTCTCACAATGGACTAGGGTCAATTTGAATTCGAACCGGACCGACTCCGTGTACCGGCCTTAGTGACGCGCGGCTCGTACAGGTCTGACAGGCCCTATCTTATGTTGGTCTGGTTTCAACTTTGATGGCGCTGCCAGATTTTTTACAGTAGCTGGCTTATCAAAGGCCTATTTGACGAATTTGACCTGCCCCACTAGCTTAGTTTACTGTCTGTTTGGGTATATTCTATGCTAACGGAAAAAGGCTGTTTTGCTGATCTACAAAAGTACAAAAGTAGACAATCAAACCATAAACAAACACATTATAAACTCTTATAGACAAAAAATGTTTGGATTACAGCTTTTTTTTAAAGATACAGGGTGTCCCACGAAACATGACAGTATGCAGGACGACTTGAATGTCGTCTTGATTTTTGATATAATTTGCTGCGTTTATTTGTCAACCTAATTTTAGAAGTAGATTTCTAGAGATAATAATCCCAAAATTTCCCTTGTCCTGCCATTTCCAAAATGTGGTCTGCTATTTTTGTGCTTTCAATATTGCCCGAGATATGAAGAATTTCGTTCAGATTTCGACAATTTTGCTTTTATTTAACAAAATTGAAATCTGAACCAAACGCTTTATATCTCCGGTAATATTGAAAGCACAAAAAACGCAGACCACTTTTTGGAAATGCCAGGGCTAGGAGAATTATGTGATAATTGTTTCAAGAATCATACATGTTAAAGTAGATGGAAGACTAAATGTCACAAATAAATTCAAATACCAAAGACGACTTTCAATTCGTCTTGCTATTGTCATGTTTCGTGGGACACCCTGTACCATCAAAATAAATAAAATAAAAAAACATTTAAAAAGACAATATTAGAGTTGTCACTGAATTCCTATATTTTTATAGAAACTATGAATTCAAACAAAGAATTTTATTGGTTCTATTGATTCTAAAGTATTCCGATTAATTTTTTCACTTTAAAGTTTTCCTCTTGATTTGTATTATATGATACCAAATTATCTTTTGCAATATTAAAATCTTTTCGAATTTTATTCCTTCTATTTAAATAAAGAAATTTCGGGAACATTATAATTTTAAACAATAAATAGAAATTATATATTGAATTTTGGTGAATTTGGCCGTTCTTAATCAGATTAGGCTTACACCGCATTACATTATGAGGTAATTATGATTCTGAACATTATTTAAATTTAGAAACCTATCTAATTTCCTGGATTTTAAACTTGATTTCATCTTGGAAACCTAGCTATTTTCCTGGTTTTTAGATTCCTAGATATATACTTTGCTTGTCTGGGTGTTTTTTAAGACCTCACATGACTCCAGGGAAGGTTTATGGATGAAATTTAAAAATTTTCGTAAGTTTGGAATGATTTAATTTAACCAATCTATTATTTTTCCTTTTTGATAACTTGATTAATACAAAAATCTTTTGCTAGATAAAAGAAATTATTCTTAAACTTTTCTCAATAACTTTTTCAATTTTTAATAAAAATAATTAGGAAAATAAATTGGGAGTAATAGTTGTTTTACAAAAAATCTATAAATACATACAATCTCATTTAATTTTTAAAAGTCAAAAGAATTTATTAAACCACTTATCTTTGCAACATTATGGTGTAACGAGTAAACCTTTGATATTTCCAATTTTGACTTTTAAATCTTGAAGATTTCATAATTTGAAATATAAAAAGGATTAAAAACATATTTCGGACTGAAAAAGTGAAGTTTGCCTAACTTACTAACATCATAGATCCCAAACTATACTTTTCCCTAACAGACTAAATCCAAAACTACTTAACTTCCTGCCATACGTTACAGACTAACTTGTACAGCAAAAATACAAAACTTCTTAACAATCTAAGTGCCGAACTGCCTAATGTCCTAACATCCAAAATCTCAAAATGCTTCACTTCCCAACAGCCTAAATCACACGGTAATGTAACGCCATAAGAGAATTTGGTACTCAGAATACACCAAATTTTGTGCTATACAATGAAATCTTTTTCGGTGCCTCTACAATTGTATATTAGTTATTTGTAAACAAACGCAACCGAAAGTGGACTTGAACCGAAACATGAAATTGAACCCAGGCTTCAAACCTTATAGTCGCAATCCTCGAGTTATAAAGTTAGACATATAAAGATTAAATGAAGCGAGGTAAATTAATTCAACAGTTTTAAGCCACAGAAACCGAGTTTATATGGTATTCCACAGTAAATGTGTGTACAGTAAATAAATTTTCTTTTGGCCCACCAAGAGAGCCAATAATGTATCGCAACGAAGCTTGAGCAGTGCGTACAAATGAAAAGGTATATACGGTACGGGAAAGATCTGTACGTGTATGACGTCACTGATTAACAAAATTGGTAGAGACAGACATTATCTCAATTAAGACAGTTCGGCCACTCTTGCTAAATCCCAAATTACTCAAATTCCCAACAGTCTAAATCCCAAACTATCCTGCTTCCTAAAAGCCTTAATCCCCAAATACTAAAGTTCCTTACAGTCCAACTGTCATATTGTCAAAGTTCCTAAAAGCCTAATCCAAAAATACCTAATTTCTTCACAGTCTATGTGTCTAATTGATATCAAGTATCTGTAAACATGTACCTGTTTGTTTACAAAACAGCTCCACTCTAGCTCCAGATACACATTCTCCTGTCCCCAGTACGCCTCCTAAACCTTGGAGCAGCTCACCTGATCCTTGCACCACAAACCACAGGTTCTGAGTGTATATTTTCTTATTTTTCATATACGAATAGTTTTCTTTAGAAAAATCCTCTTCAATCTTATTTTTTTATTTATATGTTTTCTATAGCTGGCTGAAATTTTGTGAGGGAGCCCGTGTGTGCCTGGGAATCATTAAAACAATTTCGACAATTATTTTCAAAAATACAAATTTTTGTTCATGGACAACGTTGCTCGTGGATCAATAAAAAAATGAAAAAAATGTTGAAAAAAATTTCCATCACGAAAATAATTTTTTGACACAAAATATCTAATTTTTTAGCCTAGGTACCCCTGGGATACCAATGAGTTCCCTAAAAAAATTAAGCCAATTTGGTCCAGCAGTTTGGCCAGCTATAGCTGACATATAGATATATTTAAGCCAGGAGATATAAAGAGTTTAATGTAAAAATAATCTGTGTTTTACTTATCAGATATTATTTATATATATTCACTTTTATATGGAAAACTAACAACGTTGGGTTCCCAATGTACAATGTACAATGTACAAATGACAATGTACAAATGTAAATATTTCTAGGCTACAATATTTATAATTAAGATTTTTCTAAATATCCATAATAAAAGAGTATCAACAGATAAAACTAAATTTTAAAAATTAGAAAATTTATAAACGAAAACGAAAATAAGAAATTCCCTGATTTTCTGATAATATCCTTTTTGTCTCAGTGCGCTCTACTGATTCAAAACCTAGCACAATAAATTAATTAAAATTTTAATTCCATTTTTATTCATACAAGTTAGTATCTATATACTGAAGCAGGCTCACCTCACACAGCCATCTTTTATAAATTTTTCAGTTTTTTATGCTCTAAAGGAAAACAAATACGAGACAAATAAGCTTATTACAAGCTATTACTACCTAGATGGTGGCAATCTGTATTACTATACATAACTGGTTGCAAGCTATGTTACTACCTAAGTGACTGCAAGCTGCATTACTACCTAGCTGGTTGCAAGCTGTATTACTACCTAGCTGGTTGCAAGCTGTATTACTACCTAGCTGGTTGCAAGCTGTATTATTACCTAGCTGGTTGCAAACGTACTGTATTACTACCAATCTGGATGCAAGCTGTATTACTACCTAGCTGGTTGCAAGCTGCATTACTACCTAACTGGTTACAAGCTGCATTACTACCTAACTGGTTGCAAGCTGTATTACTACCTAACTGGTTGCAAGCTGTATTAAAACCTAGCTGGTTGCAAGCTACATTACTACCTAACTGGTTGCAAGCTGCATTACTACCTATCTGGTTGCAAGCTGTATTACTACCTAGCTGGTTGCAAGCTGTATTACTACCTATCTGGTTGCAAGCTGTATTATTACCTACCTGGTTGCAAGCTGTATTACTACCTATCTGGTTGCAAGCTGTATTACTACCTATCTGGTTGCAAGCTGTATTACTACCTATCTGGTTGCAAGCTGTATTACTACCTACTGGTTGCAAGCTGTATTACTACCTATCTGGTTGCAAGCTGTATTACTACCTAGCTGGTTGCAAGCTGTGTTACTGTGGTGTTCTGTCCATCTATCAGCACAAATATCTGTCCAACCAGACTCAGTTCTAATATAATTATTTAATATATATAATTATAAATGAGTGATTTTAAGTAATGACATTCTTTTTACATTTAATTATTGGTAAATCATTTTCTATTGATTTCTTTCCCTTTCAGTAATTTTCTAATTATAGATCCTTTCAGAAAATTAAATAAAAATATGACTGCTCACAGATATTTCTGATATATTTTCTTGAAAATATTTTTTGTTCAGAATCATTAAACTTTTTTTTTAAATTAAGCTTTGTATTTTATTTTGAAAAAAAAAAATTAATAGAAATATGATAATTACTTACCGTATTTGTAAAGTTGTAGTATTGTACAATTGTAAACAATTCCACTCATCAGACCTATCCGGGCACTGTACTGTACCGTCACAAACTTGATGTACGGGTACACAACCTCCGCCGTACATACAGCTGAACATACCTTCACCGCACTCACAACCGACCTTAGTACAAAAAGATGTTCAAAAACAAATTTTAAGCTGATAAGTTGATAAATTAATATTATATATTTTTCTATTGAAATAAAAATAAAGCATCAAAATCAAAATTATTTCTCAGTTTTTAAATAACGGATAAATCAAAATAAAAGAAATTTTCAAATAAAATAAAAATTTCTACCTCGTCCTGTCCGTCTGAGCAGTCCTGTGAACCATCACATCTTAAACTGTTTTCTACACATCTACCCTCACTATATAGATAAACATTTTTAACAATACACATCTAAATATATGCATATATACATCTACCCTCACTATATAGATAAACATTTTTAACAATACACATCTAAATATATGCATATATATATCTACCCTCACTATATAGATAAACATTCTTAACAACACACATCTAGATATATATATATATATATATATCGACTCTCACTATATAGATAAACATCTAGATATATACATATATATATATCTACCCTCACTATATAGATAAACATCTAGATATATACATATATATATCTACCCTCACTATATAAATAAACATTTTTAACAATACACATCTAAATATATACATATATATATATCTACCCTTACTATATAGATAAACATTTTTAACAATACACATCTAGATATATACATATATATATCTACCCTTAATATATAGATAAACATTTTTAACAATACACATCTGGATATATATACATATAAAACAAAGTAAGGTGTGTTTGTCTTGGCGTTTGTTTGTTTGTTTGGGTGCGTGTGTCCGGTCATAACTTCAGAACCCCTTAACCAAGTTGCCTTAAAGCTGAATTGAAAAAACTTGTTATAAACCTAAGAAATATTATTAACTTGGGTTAACCCTATCCCTGCTGGGGTACTTGAAAACCAGGATATGCTGGGCCCCCCCTCCAAATCCCATGCTTTATGTCCAAATATGACAAATGATACATCATTAGAAAGCTCTTGTGCTCTACTTTTAGAATCTGAAAAATATTTGCAAATTTCAAAAAATTGAATTTTTTATCGCAAAATCCAGTTATAAAGTAAAAATGTTTGCAAAAAAAATTGTCCAAAAAATGAAAAATTATACATTTTTGAAAATATGAAATAACCTGATTTTTAATCAAGAAAAACTAAAAATGTGCAAATTTCCTTTGACAGGTTGTTTGCAAAAAATTTGCAATTTGTTTTCCGCAAAACTTGTGCAATCCGTTTCCTTATATCATAGACTTTCCAAAAGGCTAAATTTTATTAAAATCTGACAAGTGAAAGTGGGTCAAAACAAAGATTTAGTTTTTACAGGCAAAAGCAGTCATTCAGGCAGTGTACCTGAAGACTCAGGCAGTGTGCCTGAAGACTCAGGCAGTTAGTATTAAAGCCCGGTTTTAAGCCTAAAGGGAGGGCTTTGGGTATGTAAGAAAAGTCAGAAAATATAAACAGCCTCAGACCAATACTTTTTGAGTTATGTAAAAAAAATACAGGGGGGGGGGTCAAATTGACCCCCCCCCCCAGCAGGAATAGGGTTAAAAATTCTAAATTGAGTGGGTAGACTTTGTATAGAAGAAGTAAAGTCTCCAAGCAAAGCATGGTTGCCAATCTATAGTAAATAATAATTACAAAACAGTGGAACTTCTAAATTTCTAAATAAAATCTAAAAAAATCATTAATAATAGAAATTGTATTTGAGATAAAATAAAATAATAATCATGCAATTTTATACAATATTGAATTTCCGTTTTGTTACATTACTGAAACTCGATTATATGTCACTGAAAATAAAACATAATGCTCCTGGAAAAATATTAAAACAACAAACAAAAACATTAAATGTTGATCAAGTTTAAAAATCAGATATTAGACGAACCTGCAACGGAATTGATCTGAACTGCACTCGTCCGAGCACTTAAATTCGTCTTCTCCTCCTATACAGTCCATCCTACCATCACACGTCCGGTTCAGGGGTATACACAAACCTAGGTATTATTAATATTATTTTTATTATTCATGTTTATGGCCTGTATATGGAGTGTATGTGGCGTGTATATGGCGTGTAAGAAACACAATAATATCTTCCTAAAATCCGACCAGAGCAGATGTCCAGTTCTTCCGCTTTGATATTATCATTAGTACTTTTGTATTTAATACAATAAACATACCTTCAGATTTACGCAATTATACGCAAGTATTAAGCAATGTACGCACACTATTTAGTATTTAACGCATGTCTGGTAAGGTTTAAAATTAGAGAAATAAAAAATTAAGTGGATAATTAGTGTAAGTTTAATGAGCGGAAAATTAATAAAAACCTCAGCAGTTTTCTTATCGCATGCAAAAACAAATGCCAATTTTCTTTTTAAACAACTCATATCACTGAGGACTCCTTTCTTTTATATTTATTCTTGTACAAATTCATAAACAGAGAAAGGATAAGAACGCTTTATGTTAATCTATATAATAAAACAAGACATTCACAAATATGTTTCCTATAGCCAGCCAAACGGCTCGACCGGAGGGTGTTTTTTCAAAAAAAAATTCCGCGGGCAACGCCGGGCAACAATGTAACATGTAAAACGCTACAAAAAAAGCATAGGTGAGTAAGAGAGGTAAAATCTATAGCCCAAGGCCTTTGCGACACTTTAAAGTCGACCCTGTCTTAAAATTTGACGAGACTGTTTACAGGCAGCTCAGGCTGAATCTATGTGATGCCTTAAAGTCCAAACTAGTTGAGCTACAAGGTCACAAAGTCGTAGCACATAATGTTTGATAAAGGATTAAAGTCTTTACCACAAATTTAAAATTCTAATATCTGTCAACCGAGGGGAGGAAGGCCAACCACATATTTTTAAAAAATGTATTTATTTTCAAGGATCGGACACTTAAAAAAATAATATTGAAAGGACGAGGATTTCGATGTGGTTCGGACGAGAAAATGATGAGAATGTGGTTCGGACTAGAGATTGATGTGGTTGGCCTTCCTCCCCTCGTCAACCTAATGGTTTAAACCTTTGATATTTCGAACTTAGAGTATTTGATCTAAGTGTCCGAATTTAATGAATTTAACCCGCGTCTCAAATCTCACAAAAACCAGTTGCAATGGAGTGCCGGCTTAAATCTTGAAACATTTACTACAATTTTAAGTGGAACCAACCATATTTGAGCTGCGCCTTAAGTTTAAGCCGCGGCTCAAATTCTTTAAATTCGGCCTCAGAACTCATAGTTCATTGTAAAAAATTCCTTTAAATTAAATTATAAAATCCATAGTAGAATAATCACTTTATGAGTAAGGTTTGTTAAAATATTTAATTAAGGCATCGTTTTAATTCATTTAGAAATGGACATCGTTTTTATTTATTTAAAGATGGCCATTATTTTTATTCATTTAGAGATGGGAATCGTTTTTATTCATTTACAGATGGGCATCATTTTTATTCATTTACAGATGGGCATCATTTTTATTCATTTAGATATGTGCATCATTTTTATTCATGTAGAGATTGGCATCATTTTTATTCATTTAGAGATGGGCATCCTTTTCATTCATTTAGAGATGGGAATCGTTTTTATTCATTTACAGATGGGCATCATTTTTATTCATTTAGAGATGGGCATCATTTTTATTCATTTAGAGATGGGCATCATTTTTATTCATTTAGAGGTGGGCATCGTTTTATTCATTTAGAGATGGGTATCGTTTTTCTTCATTTTAGAGATGTGCATCATGTTTATTCATTTAGAGATGGGCACCGTTTTATTCATTTGGAGATGGGGATAGTTTTATTCATTTAGAGATGGGCATCGTTTTTATTCATTTAGAGATGGGCATCGTTTTTATTCATTTAGAGATGGGCATCATCTTTATTCATTAAGACATGGGCATCATTTTTATTCATTTAGAGATGTGCATCATTTTTATTCATTTAGAGATGTGCATCATTTTTATTCATTTAGAGATGGGCATCATTTTATTCCTTTAGAGATGGGCATCGTTTTATTCCTTTAGAGATGGGCATCGTTTGATTCATTTAGAGATGGGCATCGTTTTATTCATTTAGAGATGGGCATCGTTTTTATTCATTTACAGATGGGCATCATTTATTTTCATTTAGAGATGTGGATCATTTTTATTCATTTATAGATGGGCATCGTTTTTTTTCCTTTAGAGATGGGCATTGTTTTATTAATTTAGAGATGGGCATCGTTTTTATACATTTAAAGATGGGCATCGTTTTATTCATTTAGAGATGGGCATCATTTTTATTCATTACGAGATGGGCATCATTTTTATTCATTTAGAGATGGGCATCATTTGTATTCATTTAGAGATGGGCATCGTTTTATTCCTTTAGAGATGGGCATCGTTTTATTCATTTAGAGATGGGCATCATTTCATTCATTTAGAGATGGGCATCGTTTTTATTCATTATCAAACAATCCATTTTTTGCAGCGGACGGAATTTTTTTAGAAAAACGGTTAAAACGTTGATATTGGCAATATTTGTTTTATTTTTAAAAAAATGTGCTCATGATGCACTAGCTGGCAGGAACCCAGGTTTGCCTGGAAACTATACTTTCTCAGTAAAAGTCAATTTAGAATTGTTCAACCTGGCCAAGCAAAGAATCTTTCCGTAGTTCTATTTTATCAAGGGGTTTCTCTGTAGTTATCTGATTATGATAAACACTGCAAGTAATCAGAGATTACTTCTTTATACATTTCGATTCAATTTTAAAAATCTATGAATTTCTCTAATTCTTAAGGGGCATTATAATGTAGGTTAAAAATTGTAGGTTTTAAATAAACGAAAAATCATGCTCGTTTATATTTTTTTCTTGATAATTACCTTCGACACATTTAAATTCATCATTTTCACATTGTCTTAGCTGGCAGTTGAGCTCGTCTTCTCCTAGTTTACAGTCCAGTAATCCATCACATATCTGCTCCTGGTCTATACATAACCCAGAGCAGGTTAGGGAACACTTTTCATCTGTCTCAGGGTTCACAAGAACTACATTCACTTCAGCAGAGTTATCAGGAGCAGTCGTTACTTCATTTTTAGTACTAGTATCTTTAGAGGTAAGATAATCTAAGGTTGAGGTTGGCAGAGTTGTAGGATTAGCTGATTCTATAAAAGAAAATGTTTCCTCAGCTTTCTCTTTAATTTTATCACGAAGACCTGAGATAAATAGGTTAACCAATTAAAAAAGTTAAAAATAAAGTGTTTTCTTTATTGAATAATCATTCAATCATCAAAATTCTTAATAGGGATTTAATTTTTTTTCTGATATATTTCGGAAATTTTATTGTATTTGAAATTTATTAAAATGTTTTAAATTTTTTTTAAAACCCTTAAAAGGCTTTTTCCAAACTACCCTTTTCAAACAAATTTGACCAACAACATCAATGTAGCAAATGAAATTTAAAATGTTTGTCAAATATTCACATGTGGCACATGTTTATTGTTTATACATCCATTTTTACAGGGGCTTTCAGACATATAAATTTAAGATCTTTACCTCAATAAATAAAAAAAGGTTACGCTTTCAAACATGTAAATTTAAGATCTTTACCTCAATAAATGAAAAAAGGTTACGCTTTCAGACATGTAAATTTAAGATCTTTACCTCAATAAATAAAAAAAGGTTACAATTTCAAACATGTAAATTTAAGATCTTTACCTCAATAAATGAAAAAAGGTTACACTTTCAAACATGTAAATTTAAGATCTTTACCTCAATAAATGAAAAAAGGTTACGCTTTCAAACATGTAAATTTAAGATCTTTACCTCAATAAATATAAAAAGGTTACGCTTTCAAACATGTAAATTTAAGATTTCTACCTCAATAAATGAAAAAAGGTTACGCTTTCAGACATGTAAATTTAAGATCTTTACCTCAATAAATAAAAAAGGTTACGCTTTCAGACATGTAAATTTAAGATCTTTACCTCAATAAATAAAAAAAGGTTACGCTTTCAAACATGTAAATTTAAGATCTTTAAAAATGATTCTTTAAAAATAATTAGAAACACGACCGGTCTTTCGAACCTTGTCCAATAAACAAATAAATGACGTTTTCTACAGAATCAAGAAGTTTCGAGAAGATCATGTGGAAAAAGAGGTTCCTATTGAACAGTTAAGTTTATAGTATATTGATTGTAGTGTTCTGTATAATAACTAATTATCTGTATAATTGGTTAAACTATTTTCCTTGAATTGTGTTAAATTCATTTGTCTCCAAACTTCTTCCCTCTCCTGAATAGTTATCTGATTTTGGTACAACTTACTGTTTAACAATATTATTGTTTCGCATTGGTTTCAATAGATATTATTTTTTATAGCACTTGTTGTCAACATGTTTAAAGATCCCTGAATCATGCTTTTTTGTCAGAATATTAAGGAATTTTAACAATTTTGTCAAATTGTTCAAAAAACTGTTGATTTTGGAATTGGTCAATTTAAAAACAATCCCTTATTAAAATTACGTTTATTACTTATAGAAAAAGTTTCGTTTATTGTACCTTGAATAGTAGACGTAAAAAAAATGTCAAAAATTGGTTAATATTAATATTAAGAAAACTAAATGATTTCTACCTGTTGCGTTATTATCATCTCCTAGAAGAGGAACAACTGACATCTCCGGGGATGAACTAACCGTTGTAACTTGTCCTGTTTGTCCTGCAGGTTAATAATTTCATAATTTATATACAAAACTCGTAGTCTAGATTTGTAAGATAAAAAGATTTTAAATATTTGGGATTTTTTGAAGGATCGAGAAAGTATAGTTAGTTAAGTAACTATCTATCTACCTGATGCCCTCAAGCCACAATAAAAGAAAAGTATTTACTTTCTTTGTACCTTATTATAACTTCATATTCATTAATTTTAACCTCTAATTAAATAAAAGATTTTTGTTCATCCAATTATCGAGAAGTTTCCAATTCATTATCGAGCAGATTCTGCCTAGTTATCGAGTAGATTCCCCCTGATTATCGCGTAATTTCCACTTGATTATCGAGTAATTTCCACCTAATTATCGAGTAATTTCCACCTAATTATCGAGTAGATTCCACCTAATTATTGAGTAATTTCCACCTAAATATCGAGTAGATTCCCCCTAATTAACGGGTAGATTCCACCTAATAATCGAGTAGATTCCATTTAATTATCAAAGATTCCACCTAATTATCGGGTAGATTCCATCTAACTATAGAATAGATTCCACCTAATTATCGAGTAGATTCCCCCTAATTTTCGAACAGATTCCACCTAATTATCGAATAAATTCCACCTAATTATCGAATAAACTCCATTTGATTATCAAAAATAGTCCTTTAAATAAGTCTGAATTTATCAAACAGTTTTCCCATGATGAAAACATTTAGTTGTAATGCCTATAACTAAATTTTGTTTTAATTTTGCGAATAGTTTTCAAATTTATGAAATTTTCCTGATTTGTTTAAAATGGATGGTAGTGTTGTTGAATCAATATCAACAGCTGCAACAGCCGACTCCAGATAATCAGAAGTTGTTAAATTTTCAGATACCTCCTTTTCTATGAGTAAGAGATCTTCTGAATCTACTTCAGCAGCAGCAGAAGTTGTTTCCAATGCTTCTAAGTTAATTTTAGCTGAGGCTGCTATTGTTGTTGTTTCTTCTGCCAAACCCTGACTAAGTTCAAGGTTCTTTGATTCAAATATTTCAGATATCTTGTTCACAGCGGGGTTTTCATCCAATAGAGATATTCTAGGTTCTTGGTTGTATATTTGTAAATTTTCTTCTTTTTTCTCTATAATTTTAATAGATGAACTTTCCATTTCTTCTGTTGGCATTATGGTAGTTTGACTAACATCTATTGATAAGAAAGTTGTTTCTATTTTGTCCATTGGGTTTAGCGTAGTTTCCATAACTTCCATTATTTTTTCTGTAATTGGTAACATTTTGATCAGTTCCATTGGCACTCCAGCTGTTTCTATTTCATCCTTTGGTAATGGTGTTACAGTTGACATGTCATCAATGGGTGAAATGGTAATTTCCTTTAAGTTTAATGCGTCAGAGGCAATCATATCTGTTGTTGAAGTTTGGTAATCTATATTTGGCATATTGGTGGATGTTTCAACGTCATTTTTTGACAACATTAAAAATTCATCTTCAATGTTTTTTATCATTGCTCTACCTTCCATTTCATTTATAGGCATTATTGTAGTTTCAGTTTTATCTTCTGGTATTATTGTAGTTTCTGTTTTATCTTCTGGTATTTTTGTAGTTTCAATTTCATCTTCTGGTATTATTGTAGTTGCTAATTCATCTTCTGGTAATTTTGTAGTTTCAGTTTCATCTTCTGGTATTATTGTAGTTTCAGTTTCATCTTCTGGTATTATTGTAGTTTCAGATTCATCTTCTGGTATTTTTGTAGTTTCAGTTTCATCTTCTGGTATTATTGTAGTTTCAGTTTCATCTTCTGGTATTATTGTAGTTTCAGTTTCATCTTCTGGTATTTTTGTAGTTTCAGATTCATTTTCTGGTATTATTGTAGTTTCAGTTTCCTCTTCTGGTATTATTGTAGTTTCAGATTCATTTTCTGGTATTATTGTAGTTTCAGTTTCATCTTCTGGTATGATTGTAGTTTCAGTTTCATCTTCTGTGTCTTCTTTCTTTGGTAACATTGTTACAGTTTCTATTCCAGGCATGTCTGACATTGATTCAATATCGTCATATGATGATGTTACATCAGCTGTAATATCTTCAATATATGTTTCTGATTCTGTAGAATTCTGTATAAAAGTGCTGGTTTCTGTCCATTCCCTAGTTCCCTCCAGTTGAATTTGATCTGTATTTATTATTATATTCTCTCTGGTTTCAATATTTAACTCCGGCTCCCAGCTAGCACTGGGGTTCATTGTCTTGGGTTTACTATCATTAAACTCTACTCCAGGTTCAGGTTCAGCTAAAGAGATATTCACTCCAGGTTCAGCTTCAAGTTGAGATGTTTTTGGTCCAGGTTTAGTTTCAACTAGAGCTAAATCTTCAACACCATTACTATCAGTTGAAATATCGTTCATATTCGATCCTGGTCAATCATAAACCAACTTCAATAGAAAATAAATATATTTAAAAGAATAAAATGTTCCGGATCAGTTATATTAACTGAGAAACTATTACAAATTATCAAAGTTAGTAAATTATTTCACAATTTAGTTGGCATTGATTTTAAACAAGTGACCTTCATTATGTTAAGAGTATAATTATTGAAATTGCAATTTATAAAATTATGTCTGAGAGTTGGCAGTTTACATGTGTGCAATCTAATATTAATTAAAATAGCAGACTTTTCTAACTCAAAAATACATGCCAACAACAGCAGTTTACTTTTATAAACATAAATATTTGGGTGTTTATCATTATTTTTTTTTTGTTTATGTCATAACCCCCCTCATCGCGCCCTTTTATAAAATCAAACCATCTTTAATGATGTGAATATAATTCGTGTGAACAACATGTTGTAATATACACATGCAAACTGTGTTCATGAAATAAGTATACACTGAATTGTGTAAATACTAAACTGTTATATAAATAGTCTAAAAACTGGATATCGTTTTTGCTTTTTCAAAAGGGTGGCTATTGGCGTGTTTTAAGTTAGCCCCCCCCCCCTCTCCCCTTCCTCTAATCCTTCCCCTCCCTGTGAATTACTAGGCAATAATTTTAATATTTGTAACATTAATGTTGGTATATTTTCCTGTGGTCTGGTCGCTGGCAGCTAGGGATAAATTCTTTCGGATGAATTCTTTATCAGAGCCACTTACATCCTATACATACAGTACATTTAACGTAAGTAATAATAGGTCACACCAAACTAAAGCAAAGTTAATTTTAGATTAAAATATTGGATTTTTTAAAACATACTTTTTTCCTCTCATATCATGATCAATTTAAAAGGTGAAAATTCTTTTTTATTAATAAATAACTGAAGGTTAGTTGAAAATAAATAATTCAAAATGTGCATAAGCAGAATTTCTTGTTAATCTATATAATATTAAAGCTATTCGTTCATGTCTATCTATCTATATATTTTTATATTTGTATATGTTAGTTATAAAGATAGAATTTTTCCTGTGATCTTTAAATGTAAATGACTGGAAATAATGAATTAACCCTTGATATTCCATTGAAATTTAAAATCTAATATTAAGAAATAAAAGACGAATATCTTTTAAATCGAATTTTAAAAATATTCAAATCTTTTGTTTTAGTGAGATTGCTGATTAATCAAATTTAGTCTCTTAGTGGATTCATCATAGATTAATTAACAATAACAGATAGAAACATTTTATGTCGTCTTTTTAAGATTTAGAAGTTTTCCGTTCACAATAACCCTGAGGCAGAGGCCCAAAGGAGTTACACGCATGCAGTGTTGAATTAAAAGACAGAGAGAGAGCATGCACATAATTTCTAATGGGCCTTTGCCTCAGGGTTATTGTGAGAGTAAAACCCCTAAATCTAGAAAAGACGACATCTAGTGTTCTATCTGTATTGTTAATTAATCGATGGTATTTATTATTGATTAAGAACTAGGAGCTGAGAACTATTTAAAATATCTGGCGGCTATATTACTGCACCATTGTTTGAATTCAATGAAGCATCCAGGCCTTTCATACCAATAAACGCAATTATTTGATTTCACAGATTTCAAAAAAGAGACTGTACGTGTAATTTTGGGAGACCCTCAATTAATGATATACATTCTGAAAATATTTTAGATTTTTTAAAAATAATGCCTAAGAAAGTGATTTGCGGAATTATGCAGACATACAAGAAGAAATTGAAAATCCAAAATGACTAAGTTTTTGCCACAAAGTCTGACTTTTTAATCCCCAAATTTGTCGACCTTTGACATTCTAAAGTATGAATACTGTTTATTCAAATAGTCTAGCTGAGCTTAAAATATCAAAGGTTTACATCATAAGGTTAAAACAGATGTAGGAATGATATTATATAAGTTAAGTGCCTAATTAATTCATTTTAAATAAAAAACGACATTTTCTTTATCATCGTCACTCAGATTAAGGTTTTTAAGAAGAGGTAGTTTTGTAAGTCTGAAATGTAGATGTATAATGTTAACAAACCTTTAAAATATCAAAATCATAAAAACTCTAAAATTACTGATTTTATTCAACTTAAAATAGCTTTGTTTTAAATTTAACTTGAATTTTATCTTATCATTCTTGTTCCGCTTCAACTTTCTTCAAATTGTATTCTTTGATAAAAACAGTTTTACTTTAATTGTGTTTGATGAGTTTGAAATTTAACCCCCCTCCCCCAATTCTTCCCCTTTTTATGCTAGAGAATATTTTATTTATATACTTTGCTTGTCTTGTGTTAATTTGTATGATCTATCCTTGATAAACGTCAAAAGAGAAGGTTTATGGATGCTCAGAAAATCCACGAAAAAAATATGATAAAATCCGTGAATTTTTTGTTATTGTTTCATACTGTGCGAAGAGAAAATGCTCACAGATAGAGCCCCAATTTGAAAATGAAGATGGACGTGTAGCGCCCTAAAAACCTAGTATTTTATTATGTAACCCTTAAATTATAAACCCCTCCTACAGCTCTAAGCGATTTGGTTGGTTGAATCACTGAACATTGAACATAAATTTACTAAAGTCTTAAACCACACATTTTTATGCTAATCTGATGGAAGAAACAATTTTTACCTCTCTGACTACTTTTCCGTGGCATGGTCATCTTTTATGTATTAAAGATTTTGTGTTCCTTTCTAACTATAAGATATCCCCCCCCCTCCCCTTGCCTTCCCCGAAATATGGCTCGGAAGGAAGGGGGAGTAGATTTTTTCCCCAAAGAATCTTTTTTTTTTGAGAAAGGCCTTGACGTTTTTCACATAAAAAGAAAGAAAGGATTTATGAACCAATAATTTACATAATAATTGAGCCTTAACATAGTGGTTGACATGTCACATCATAGAATGTAAATAATAAATATATAATAAAGCGAAAAATTTACAACATATTTATGTAACAAATTACCCCCCCCTCCCTAACTTCCTGATTCCCTAATTTGTATTTCCTCTCTTAACTTCCGGAATTAAAGATATATATTTAAGTGTATATAAATTGTTCCATGGTTCACTAATGTTCACAACTACTATTCTTTAAATGGTGTTTAAGCATGTTTTTATTTTGTATGGTTTTGTATTATTAGCGCTTAATTATGTTGTTTGCTAGGGGGCTGATAGACAGGCAAAAAGGAGGGGGGGGGGGGGGACTGAAAATTAACAAAGCCGAGATATTATATAACAACTTGACCTCTTTAGTATACGTTTTTCAGTCATCTCTCTTTTTTTGTCAGCACAAGCTTTTCAGATGAAAAGTCAACAAAGTAAGTTTGAAGATTGTTGAATTATTGACCAAAACGGGATTGAATTCAAATTAAACCAAACGCATCGTCCTGGTAAGTCCAGGGGCAGGGCAGAGGGTAGTTAAAACTAGGCATAGGTTTAGTTGTTTGATTTTAGACAATAAATGTTAGACACTACACAAGAATTTAAGATGTTACAATTGTTTTTATAACGATGTGAAAAAAATTTACTTATGTGTAATTCTTTGAATTCGTCGTTCATGGCACAATGAAATAAAATGAAAACTTTCATAGTATTCAATTTAAAAAATAATAAACTCTTTATAAAAAAAAAACCTGCATTGTCAATTTTTGTTTGTTTTTACCTCAACGGTAGGAGTAGTTGACTCTTGTGTTCTATCGCTGTCTGGAAAACTACTAATATCACGTAAAGTGTCACCGTTCAGATCCATTATTTTGTTTGTGTCCTTGTTCGACTCATACCTAGCGGAGTCCGCAATAAGCTCCGCCATGGTGGTGTTAACGATTGGAATGGTTTCGAGGATTTTTAAAATTCCATTCGGAGGATTTTCAGAGTTTGGGATTGACTTGATTTTTGATTCCAGAGTTTTGATTCCGTACTCAATATCAGAGAGCTGAAAAAGTAAAAATAGAAAAACTTTTGCACTGTTCTATTTTTTTTCTTAAAACTTAATACCTCAGATTTGACTGGATCAGTCATGTACAGTTTTGGTACACAGCTGTACAAATCTGCCAGTTCCATATTAGGTGGACATGTACATAGAAACTGTGTTCCAACGTGTTCAAACATACAACCGTCTGCAGATTATTATATATTTGTTATTATTTATTACACTTTAATCAGCATTATTACTACTGCTAATGGAGCGGAAGAATTACGCTGCAATTGTAATTAATTAAACAAATTAAAAATAGATATAATGTTTAAATGTTAACATAAATTAAAGGGGGCTCTCTGGAATTCTACTGACCCTATATATATACTTTGGGTGTCTGTTTTGGTGTTTATTTGAAACAGTAAACGTCAAAACGGCTGAACTGATCGGGCATAATTTTTTAAGGGACCTCAAATGACCCAAGGGAAGGTTTAATGGATGCTCTGAATTACAAAATATTGTCTACAAAATTGTGTGATATCGTAAATAATTTGAAAATCCACGAAAAATTGTAAATCCGCAAAAACATTTACTATTGGTTTGTCGAAGAGAAAATGCCGAAATATTGAGCAACAATTGAAAGTTGAAATAGAAGATGACTGATAGATTTGTATTATTGAAATAATAAGAAAGTTGTGTATCATTAATAGTGATTTTTAAAAGTGAACAAGAAAGTAGCGAATATAAACAAATATAATATTCCTGAACAGTTCATAATTAAACACTTATTGAACACACGACTTGTTCTGAACATCAAACAATAACATATTAAAAAGGAAACCCTTCAAGTCTATTTTTAATTTAAATTTTTTTTTTTTTTGAAAAATATATGTTATTTTTATTTTCCTAACAGATGTTTGATCCACAACAAACTGAGCAAAAAGTTTCCCACTGTTTGCTTCTAATCTGTCATCCAACAAACTCTAAACAAATAAAATAATACTGGTAATTTGAAGTAACCCTCCCATTAAGATGGCAATGCCAGATTCACAACGGTATTCTTAAAAAACCTTTATCTGATCAATAATGAGGAAGATATTGTCGCTTTCCCAGGTTAAAATAATGTTCAATTCTGAGAATTCAGATATTTTCCTTTAACTGAAAATCACTTTTGTAGAGAAAGTTCAATTGAGAAAAATCAGTTTACAAAATTCATACTTGATCAGACAAAACTTTTAAGGGAACCGTTGTAATTTGAGAACTGCCATTTTTACAAATCGGAGGGACACTTTAAATTTCGCTAGCAATCCCTTTAATTTGGCGGAGCACCCGCATCAAATTAGTAGTGCACTTATTCGGTTATTATTCTTATTATAATTATAAATATTCTTTTACAAAAAAAATTCGTGAGAATAGTAAACCCTGATTAAGTTCCAAGAGCCCGCGATTTAAAAAATTCGGGAAAAATACGGCTCGGGTCTAAGCCTCGGTGGGCCTTATTTACGGCATGAGCTTTCGGATTCAAGCTGCATGGTTTAATATTATTCTATTTGGCAGATTTTCATGGTAGGAATTGGCGCATTCCGGGTTTTAATGAGAACAAGACTCAACATTGAGCCTTATTCTCCACTAAAACCAACCAAGGTTGGTTTTATTTACAATAAGCCTAATTTCTTAAGTCGAGCCGAAGATCTTTCAGATGTCAATCACACAAGCTGTCGTCAGAGTTAAGTCGAAGATCGGTTCTTAGAGTGGGGTTTAAGGAATTATGGCTGGAGCCGAAATTTTTAAATCGCGGGCTCAGGTTTGTCATTTATATCCCAGTCTGTAATTTTTGTATGAATACCTCAATATCATCAGCTTGAAGTTTAGATGTGCCAGCAGGCCAGGAAAGGATATAGCTAGAAAAAACTAGATTTAGTAATTTATCACTTAGATTTTTATATTATTTTTACTCGCATTGACCTCTAATTTTTTATCCTTATTTGGCTGCAAGGAATTCACCCCAGTCTAAAAGTTCCATGATCCGTGCCGATACAACACGTACTGACAGTCAGGCTACCCAGTGCAAAGTCGACCCAGCAAGGTACTAATGCAAGGAAAGTTAATTGATGTCGCGTATACTCTGCGTACATATTGAAACCAGTTCTCTCTGGGCGGACTTTGTAAACAAGAAAAGACGTGTTCGTTAAGTATCCGAGGAGGTTAAACGCATTGAATTTTGATGATTTTGAAAATTCACATAATAGTTTTCTATGACCATAATATGTAATAGATTATGTTTGTGAAATGGAGTCCATGTCAGGCTGTGACATCCGTCTTATGTTTACTTTTCCGCCCTGCAGTGCACAGCAGTACAAAAAATGCCTACACTTCTGAAATAACTTTCCTTGTATTAGTACCTTGCGACCCAGCACGTTTTATGCAACAAATGTAGACTTAGCTAGAATACAGGAGATTAGAAAAGCAAGTTAATTGCGATTAATCAGTTTCTTTTTAGAAATATTCAGATATCTACAAAAGGCATCATGCAAGAAACAAATTTTTTCACATGAATCAAATATTATGATTGATTTTTTAATTGTGGTTTCCGGTCGAGCTAAGATGTAACAAGGAATTGAGATCTTGGTGGATTATTTGTTTAAATCAAAAGCACAAAACAATGCAGAGTTTAAGGAATTACAATATTTGAATGACAAATTACAAGTTGATCGGTAAAATATTGAATAATCTACAAAAATGTAAAAAATGGTTTGCATTGCATATTATCTTATATAAACGGTTAAAATTCCAAACCAAAGCATTATTTTTAAAACTTAATTTAAAGGGAGTGACCGGCAAAAAAAGTAAAAGAAATTCGAACAATAATCTAATGGCATAAATAGAACCAGGTTGAGAAAAAAAAGTTAACTCTTATTATCGCAATAAGTATTATTTTCATTTAAATTTTTTTTTTCAACAAAATCTTCTTGTGTAGTTTTGTATTGTTTTCAGATGTATTTCTGAATCAGCTGATCATTGAAATTTACTCAAAACTAGAAATTCAAGGCGCTTCGCGCCCTTCTTTCTAGTCTTAGAGGTCGCTTCGTGGCCATCTCCTAAATTAATTGTGAACATGTTCTCTTTGTGTACATCGTAAAACAAAACAAAAATAATTCGCGGATTTTCACAAAAAATTTCGCGGATTTTCAAAATTTTAAAAAATTTAATGACGATCGAATTTTGATGGAGACAAATATTTGAAATTTTGATGATTCATAAACCTTCCGGTTCAGCCGTTTTGACGTTTATTGGATACAAACAAACAGACAGACAGACAGACAGACAGACAAGCCAAATTTATATATAGATGTTTAGGAATTAAAAAAATAAATGAATATATTACAGAAATGGTTTTTGTAATAAGTTTATATAAATTGTCATACTTTAAATAAAGAGGAATTTCTTTCTCTAAAAATATTAATTTTAAATGATTATTGATTGAGCGGAGAAAATTGTCGTCTTCATACATCTAGGTTTTTAATTGAGAATTATTACAAAATAACTTTTTAAAAATGTGTGTAAACTTTTTCAACCTGTTTCTAGCATTTATGCCATCAGTTTATTGTAGAATTTGTTTTATCTTTATTGTCGTCGTTATTTAATAGTTTTCAAAAAAACAATCCTCAAAAAATATCCACCCAACTAGACGATTTTGGAAGTCGACTTTGCGCCCCAACTGAGTAATTATACGTCGTAGAAACGTTTTACATGTTTCTAATTAATCTTAAAGAATTTGTTTACAAAAAGTAAAATAATTTGCTATTTATAAATTTCTAAAAAGCGTTTGTTTTCTATGGACACTGTACTTTTGAAAATTGGACATTCAATCCTCTGTACTAAGAATAGAGATATATCGCCGTAGAGGTCACCTGATTACACAATTGTGCACAATTGCATTTATGTATATACTCTATATATAATAACTCTATTGCATTTATACTCGAACTCTAATTAAATCTGATTGATTAGACGTTTAATACCGGTTAGACTGTGTGTACCTGACTATAATGCTGCCTGGGCTGAACCGAATAATATCTACGGTGATATTTCGTCCAGTTTCTTTCAGTAGTAAAGACTGTAGCCCACTCACAACATTACCCTGAGAATAAACTATTTTACAATGAGACCTAGAGATAAGCATCGTTTTTTTTCAACGAATGACATTTTTAAGAACGAACGAAAATTTTCGTGGAAAAGGGTGTTATTTAACAAAAAAAACGAATGATAGACGAACGGAACGGATCACTCTTAGAAATGAAAAAATGATCTTTTTTTTAAAAATGAACGAAAAATAACGATTTTAAATTGTTGGAACATGCTTGTAATAACAATAGTGTTAACAAAACAATACAATACAAAAAATAAATTTGAAAAAAACGATGAACGAGATTACTGAACCAACAATTTTACAAAACGAATGATTTTACTGAATGATGGTTTACGGAGAAAACGTATGAAATAGATGGAAAATGAACGATAATTTTGAGATCGAATGAAATTTTATTTTTATGAACGATTTAAAAAAAAGAACGAAATTGGTCATTCACTAACGATGAACGAACGAAATGAAAAAATTCGAACGTGTCCATCTCTAGTGAGACCCGTAAAACTGTGAGAAAAAGGCAATTTTTAATTTTGAATATTGAAATACATGTAACGCATGAATTGTCCAGTGAACATAGAAATATTTTATCTAACAATCTTTGTTCTAAAGGTACTAGTAAAAATATTTACATACAGTTTTAAGAGTACAAACTTATAGTATATAATTTTTAAAACACTTTCCTTTCATCCGAATATTGTTATTTTATGCAGAGAGAAAAGAACAGAACATTAAATGCTTCACAAAAATAAATATAGAAAAAAACATTAGACACTTAAATATCTAAAAATATGATATAAATATTAAATATTTTATAATTCACGTCAAATTAAAGTAAAATTCTTGTTAAATTATAATCTTACGTCACTTCTGAAAGGATAGAGGGGAAAAAATTTAAATTTCTGTTATGCTAATAAATATATTTACTTTTCTCATATAAGATATGAAAACTAAGTACTTAAAACTTGTGAAATTGTGATCGAACTTTGGTTCCGAGCCAATAATCTTAAAAAGTAAAGATATATTGTATTATAATACAATATATCTTTATTATTAAATCTTCTTTTCAGCACGTAATTAACAAATGTTATAGATCAACAATTTTCAAAAGAAAAGGTGAAATAAAAAGAGTTTATTGAACAAACAATTAAAATTAAATTTAAATTCCAAAAAGCTATAAAAACTAGGAAACTAAATTGAAATATCATCCAGAACTGAATAACCGATACTTAAAAAATATAAAGAAAGAATTAAGACGGACAGAGAAAGAGACAGAGACAAACTAGGGATAGGGTCAAAGACAGATAAAAGTCAGAGACAATTAGAGACAGAGACAGTGAGAAACAGTGACTGACTATGGACAGAAACAACAACAGATAAAGAGACAGAGACAATTAGAGATAAAGACAGCGAGAGACAGAGACAGACTAGGGACAGCTAAAAAGACAGATAAAAAGACAGAAACATAGACATAGACATAGACATAGACAAAGACAGAGACAGAGACAGAGAAAGAGACAAAGACAAAGACAGAGACAGAGACAGAGACAGAGACAGAGACAAAGACAGAGATAGAGACACAGACAGAGAAAGAAACAGAGACAGAGACAGAAACAGAGACAGAGACAGAGACAGAGACAGAGAAAAGGGCCGGAGAAAGAGACAGAGAAAGACAAAGACAGAGAAAGAGACAGCGACAGAGACAAAGAAAGAAAAAAACAACGAGACAGAGACAGAAATTGAGACACAGACAGAGATAAAGAAACAGAGAAAAAAAAAATCAGAGAGAAAAAAATTTCAGACTCAGCATGGTCTTTAGCTTTCTTGATTTATTATTTGGACATATTGAATATAATTTAGATACCTTAACTACATTATATAGTTCTGAGTCCTGGTTTAGAAGGTCGTCGTTGAATTCCATATTTTCAATACGCAGGGTTAATCCAAGTGCATTCTCCACTAAAGTTATTTTGATTTTTATTATTATTGTTATTAATTTTATTATTGCTCTGGAACATTCTTATTCTTATTATTATTAATTATCTTATTATAATTATTATTTTACCCTNTCATTATTATGTTGGCAACCTGATGCATTAGGTGAATCTTGATCAGCTGCGTCTAGAAGGAAGAATGGATCAGAAGATAGAATACTGGATATATTTGATCTTTCCCAAGAATATAGTTGGGACCCTCTGATCAATTTAATAATAATCAATTCGCTTCATAAAATCATTAGATCAAACGACTGGAAATGGGAAAAATCCCAAAATGAAAAGATAAGTTTTGTTTCTCATACAGTGTTACCCACAAAGGATGAGAATGTAAAGACCACTTAAACTTCTTAATATGAGGATTCATAGGTTAAACAAAGTCGGGAATCTGACATATGTATTTTATATCCTTTTTATTAATTGAGAAAAGAAAAAATAATCAATTCTTTGCATGTATCATTAGATCAAACAACAAAATGAAAAAAATGTTTTGTTCCCCGTAAAGTGTTACCCACAAAGGATGATACCAGAAATTTTTTAAAATGACGATTCCAAAGTCAAAAAGTCTTTTACGAACGTTTCATTATTGGGCAAAATAGCAGAAGTTTATAGTTGCAGCCTTGCAGGGAATCCTGAATAAAAGGAAAAATACAATTTCCACACAGTCGCCTCTGAACTCTCACCCTTGTGTATAAAATAGACTCTGTTGGTCTGTTAAATTCTAATTTGGCAACTCTGTAGAACCTTTTTTTTTGGGGGGGGAGGATGTTGTCGTAAACTCTGATTTTCTAATAATCCCTATTTCTTTACAATCCAATGTCGTAGACCTTATAGATATTTCAAATATGAATTCTGTTAGATCTAATAATCTAAATTTGAAATATCAAAGGTTTATGCCATCAGGCTGCAAAAATATAGGAATTAGAAAATTTGAGTTTGTGGCAAAGACTCAATATTCGTATGTAATCTTTAACAACAAAAGTTACAAACTCTGAAAGTTATTTGCTATAGTGTCTACTGTCTACTGCCTAGAGATATATTTGCTATAGTGTCTACTGTCTACTGCCTAGATATATTTGCTATAGTGTCTACTGTCTAGTGCCTAGAGATAAAAGACAATTTGAAATTATTTTGATTCTTCACATTTTTTTAAGGAATTGTTATTTATTTTCCTTGAGTAGTTTCCTTCAAGTTTTCTTCCAACCTTCACACTTTTATTCATAGAAGGGTCAATATATCCAGCTGAAAACATAATAAAGCATTCATTAAAGGAATTGAGTCTTTGTCACAAACTATGATTTTCCAAGCTTTATATCTTTGTAACCCAATGCCGTAGACCATAGATATTTCAAACTATGAAGTCTGTTGGATGAAAAAATCTAAGTTTGAAATATCAAAGGTTTACACCATCAGGTGGAAAAAATATAGCTATTAGAAAATCAGAGTTTGTTACAAAGACTCAATTCCTTTGTCTGTAAAAGTTTTCTATATGCAGCGTGTATCCTCAGAACATCAGAGCAAAATACCATTTTTAATTATGATTTAATTGATTTTTTCATTAATTTTTTCCCCATGTTTTTTTTGTTGGCGACGACAGGGTGAGGTCATTAAAAGGATTAATTACAACTAAAAGTCATCCAAATACGTGGTTTTTGGTAGAATTTTTCTTCTATTTATTATTCTTCTTTTACTTTGTTTAGTGTATAGTATGTGACTATGCATATTAGGATAGGGAGGGGGTGCAGGGACGCCATGAGCCCCGCGCACTACTGTATGCCGAGTCCATTAGCGCCTGATCCAATCAGGGTTTAGTCATTTGTTTGTTGTCTAATCTGAACCAATAGAAATAGTATGGCGGTTACATCTATATCTTTATCTATCTCATTATTCAATTAGAGTTATGAATCCTTCAATCGGAGCTATCAGTAAAAGGAAATATTTAATTTTAATAAAAATATGGTGCGCAAAACAGTCTCCAAGACTCTGGACTTGCAGATGAGTATTAAAAAATGACCTAGCGATAAAAATGTTTTAACAATTTTTAGAAAAAAATTTATTATTTTGTAAGTTATGCCAAGAAAACACTGCATACATATTTTCAAAAAGTAAATTTTTCTTTCAAAAATGTTATTTGTAACTTCAAAAATATATATTCTAACGTTTAGGGGAGGCGTCAGGTCATTTTAAATACTAATCTGCGAATAAGGAGGTCTGGAGACCATTTTGACGGGCTCATGGCGGCCCTGCTCCTCCTCCCTCTCACTAGGACCCACTTCAAATACATATAAAAAGGTTCTCAAACTAGTATATTATAGTATACAATAGCAGAAACGACATACAAGCAATACACTTGGATACGGATAAACTTCTAAGCAAGAAAAAGAAACAGAAAAAAGAACTTAAAAAGGAGATTAGAGAAAAAAAACAAAATATAGGAAAGAAGAACAGGAGATATAAAAACTGAAGATATAGGAGCACATGAGATAGAGGAGAACAAGAGAACAGGAGAACAGGAAAACAGGAGAATAGGATAACAGGAGAGCAGGAAACCAGGAAAACAGGATATGTAGGAGAATAGGAGACCAGGAGAACAGGAGAACAGGAGAACAGGAGAACAGGAGAACAGGAGAACAGGAGAACAGGAGAACAGGAGAACAGGAGAACAAGAGTACAAGAGAACAAGAGAGCAGAAGAACAGGAAAAGGAGAACAGGAAAACAGGAGAACAAGAGAACAGGAGAGCAAGAGAACAAGAGAACAGGATAACAGGAGAACAGGAGAACAGGAAACCAGGAGTGCAGGAAAACAGGAGAACAGGATATGCAGGAGAACAGGAGAACAGGAGAACAGGAGAACAGGAGAACAGGAGAACAGGAGAACAGAAGAACAGAAGAACAGTAAAACAGGAAAACAGGAGAAAAGGAGAAAAGGAGAACAGGAGATCAGGAGATCAGGAGAACAGATGAAAAGAAGAACATGAGAACAGGAGAACAGGAGAAAATGAGAACAGAAGAATAAGAAAGAAAAAGATCTAGAGAAAAAAGAAAAAAAGGAAAACACAGGAAAAAACAGGGAAAAAGAAGAACAAGGGATTCAACTTCAAACAATGTTTGATTAAAAATGATTGTGATGTTCAAAAGTCTGATATACATTTATGCATTTATAAAAGTAGTTTTTTATCATTATATTTATATAAAATCAATCTTAATTGATTTTTATTTTCTTAATAAATACCTCCTATAAGAACTGCTACAGTGACTGCTCCAGCTAGCAGTAGAAGGGTAAACGTCCAACAAATCACTTTTTTCCAGATTCTTCTCTCAGTGTTGGCTTTGTTTACATACAGCTTTTCACCTCTAAACAATATAAAACCATCATGGACAGTAATATTTATATAATAAAGCTATTCGCTCATTTACATGTATACATATTTATATGTTTGCTATAGCTCTGGCCGAACGGCGGGACCAAATTGACTGACACTGACATTTTTTGAGGAATACATGAGTATCCGGCGGGGGGGGGGGGTAACATTGGATAGAAAATTAGATTTTTTTCAAAAAATATTTATTTTTTCTAAAGGAATTGTGTCTTTGCCTCAAATGATATTTTCTAATCCCTATATCTTTCACATTTGATGATGTAAACCTTTGATATTTCAAGCTTAGATTATTTAATCTAATAGAATTCATAATTTAAAATATTCAAGGTTTAGCACATCGGGTTGAAAAGATTTAAGAATTATAAAATCAGAATTTGTTGTAGAACTATAAAATGTTAATTTTAAATTTAAAAATAGATGAAACATTGGGTCCCTTGAAGCCTTACATTTGCACACATCTTATACAAAAAGTAGTAATCTTTGTTTGGATGTTTGGATGTCCAATCATAACTCAGAAACCATTGACCGATTTATTTCAAATTTTTATTGGGGAGATCGGTAGAAATACAGAAATGTTTTTTGTCTGGTTGAAACAGAGTCTACTGGGTTAATCTTTTCTATGAAAAATTCCAGCTAAAGCTGAATTTCCATGAGCTAGTGGTTTAAAAATACTATTGTGTAGTGCAAACTATAGGGCTCTGTTTAGGTGAAGTTAGAGTTATAATTATAATAATGTTACCCATGCTCAAATGCATCTGGAGACTGCATTGTGTTTTGTAAGTTGTCACAAATAACTGCCTACGCTTCTCTTTAGCATATGTACTAATCAATCTTTGCAAAAATAAAAAACTTTTTTATTTCAAATGTTGACATCAGGTCAGGTTGCAAAGATATTAGGATTTGTAAAATTAGAGTTGAAGGAGAGTAGTCAGAGCTAGAAACTTTTAAATTGTGGATATTAAGATTAATCTCCAATTGTTAATTTAATTATGGTAATCATATGATAATCATGAGGGGTTGAAGGGAGCTTTGATCAGGGGAGGACTAGCTAAAATGAAGATATGGAAAGGTATAGCTTTTTATAGATCCTCAAATTAAAAGTACCCACAGTGGATATCAAGATCAAACAATCGGGATTACAAGTATCCAACAGAAAAGTTCCCAGCTCTTAATCCAAATATTCCCTTAATGATTTATTCCCTGGCGAACTATACTTTAAACTGATATCATGATATTTTTACAAACAGTCTAGGGAATAGTTTTTAGGGGAGGGGGAGCTAAAACTCACGGGGTATAACAAACCAGGCTTTCAGAGCACTTCGAGTCCGTCATTGGTTTTAATATTTAATTATTAATCTTTTATATTGACTTTTTCGTGAATTTTGAAAAATCTAATTTGTTTACGTAAATTTATTTTTACTTTAACCATCCACAAACCTTCCCTGGGTATGTGAGGTCCTACAACAAAGGATCATTGAGTCTTTGCCACAAACTTTTCCAACACCAATATCTTTTCAACCAAATGTCGCAGACCATAGATATTTCAAACTATTACCTCTAATAGATAAAATAATTTAAGTGTGAAACATCAAAGATTTGCACCATTATTTTGCAAAGTTATAAGGTTTAGAAAATTTGAGTATGAGGCAAAGACTCAAATCCTTTGGGCCCGATCAATTCGGCCGTTTTCACGTTTATAGGTCACAAACAAACACCCAAGCAAAGTATTTATATAAATAAATATATAGATATATATTAGAGCGGGATCAAACATGGATAACATTAAAACTAATTATTTACCAATGATGCTGTGAGAACAAGATTTATTAAACGTTAAACTTAAATCAATTGTATTTTTGTGAATTTAAATATTTGTTCTGGAACAATGATTTAATATTAAAGTTGGATAAACTGCATTGTTTCTGACAATTACCATTTCATTGTGTTGATAATATAATATTTTTGCAGAACTAAATTCCGTTTGATTTACAATAAATCGCCTCGTTAAGTGACTTATATCGAGCTCTTTAACCATTCAAATGGATTCATATTGATAAAGCCAGAGTCCGAATTTAATGAATATGAGCCGCGTCTCAGATCCTCCAAAAACCGGTTTCAATTTAGCGCCGGCTTTAATCTTGAAACCTTGAATATAATTTATTTGGAACAAACCATATTTGAGTCACGTCTTAAATTTAAGCCTCAGATTAAGTTAGTCCGTAAACGCAAATCCACGTTAACCTCAAAGGGAATGTATGTGTAATTTCAAGTGTCCATCCATGCTAAAATCCCAAATGCCTGAATTACAACGGTACCTATGCTTTGTCTGATAAATATGAAATATAAATCCATGTTTTTTTGGACTCAAAGAAGTTCGTAGTAAGATTTCGATTCTACTGGAGACCACCGGAGGGATTTTATTTTCACTGGAGGGGTTTCAAAAAATGCTTTATACAATTTAAAACTTTACGCAGGGTGATTTACATTCCACTGGAGGGATTCAGATGTCCTTCCTGGCGGGTTATAATTCCACTGGAGGGATTCAGATATCCTTCCTGGGGGTTTATAATTCCACTGGAGGGAT